TTCACAGAAAGAATTAAGAAGTTCTGATGATCTGATACATGAGTTTGGTGGGCTACCTAATTTTTACTACGCTCCATTTCACTTGTGTTTAAATTCATTTTTCTTTTCTAAAATGTAAGCCAATAGGTATCATAAAATATAGTTCTCAAAAGAATGGGTAGTTTTCTCATTAGTTTTTCTACATTATGGTATTTTAAAACTAATAGTTTCAGAATTCCAACTTTATAAAATATTAATTTACATGGCCATACTGTAAGCAATAAAAATATGTAACTATAAAATTTTATTTATAACCGATAGTGTTCGAAACAAACATTATCATGGTATCATATTCACTTGAAAAAGAAACTCAATCGAAAACCTAATTATTTTTCAAGTAATTTAAATGTGCAACTATATATTTATATTTATAAAAAGCGGGTAAGTGGATGTTGCTCTGCTGTACAGTAGGTTACAAGTGGGTCATTGTATAATGGATTGTATTAAACTTGAATTCAATGATATTCTATAATTGTATAAGAAAAACTATTCTGAGCGGAGACGGTTTGTCAGTCTGGATATTTTATATTCTCATTAATTATTATTGTATTATGTAAGTTGAATTAATATTATATAATATTATTATTTTTTATTCGTTTCTATAGTAATAAACAAAAAGTTAGAAATTAAAATCCAATTTTTAGCGGTTTTTCGTAATTTTTCGGTGGTTTTTACCGTGGCATTAAATAACTATTGGTAAATCGAAAAATGACCTCTCTAAAGTAACATCATGATCAAATTTGCTAAAAGATAAGGTACTATATTATGTTGAAATCGAAGAACTCTTCCTGGTAGAAATTTTGTACACAAGATATAAAAAGAAAAAAAACACCGTTGTAAAACCACTAGCTTAATCGCTCCGCTCAGAATCTAAAATTAAATCGAAGTTAATTCAAATAAACTTAAATATTATATTTGTTAATTATACATTTGAAAATGTTATTATTTAACACATCTATTTGATGACGTACCTAATGCAAATGCGGTGATCCAGATTACATATAATATTTCGAAATCAATTCTAAAAATCGGGATATAAGGACATAATACTATCTATATGACATAGATCTGAATTAGCAAACTCATTATTCATCGCTTGATTTAATTAGGTTGAATGGTGTATTATTATTTATTATTAAATATTTAAAAACGATTATACACCAAGATGTAAAAATATTTTTATGCCGTTTAAAATTAAAAAAAAACTATTTTTAATATTATTGAAATGTTCAATGTTCATTGTTCACATATATAAATAAACAATAAAAAAAATAAATTATATTTTATCTATCTAGAAAATACCAAATTAATTTAGAAGTAATAAGATAAATGTGTTGGCACAATATTTTCATATAATTCAATTTTTTTACATAAATTGACATACCTATTCAGAACATTCATACTTATACTACAGTGTGAAGAAATCGTTGTTGGGGAAAATCAATATTCACATTTAAACATTTGATTATACATCCAATAGGTAAATTGACAATAGAGTATTGTTCTTTAGAAAAACTTTGTATTCAAATGTTCAAAGTTCAAATGGAATAAAAAAGTTCCGACTCATGAATTCCGATTTATGATATTTGAATTTTGAAGGGAATTTCAAGGGGGAATTGAGGGGAACTTCTTAGAAATTGCATAATCAAGCTCGAGTTACCGAGTATCAACATAAGTATGAAATATACTTTACTACCTCTTCGGTGTATGCATACGTAATTTGACGTGTAGGTTGCTTATAAGACAAATATAAGTTTAAAGAACAATACAGTTAATATGTTTAAACTTAATGTTAACTTTTACATACTATTTATGTGTTAGCATTTTACTAGATCACTTTCGATTAGTTGCTTTATACAACTGCTTTATAAAAATGTGTAAGAGGAAATTAAAAGTATAATTATTGTGTTTAAGTAAAGCAGTGACATATCTAATCTGTTTGATTGTTGTGGGAGGGGAGGTTTGAAAATTAATTTTTGACAAATTTTATCCGATTCTATTTTATTTCATTAATGCCTGTTTTATAATTTAACATTTTTTTTTTTTTTTTTGGGGGGGTGGTATAGTTCCCTACCACCCCATGGATACGTCAATGAAGTAGAGTAGTTAACTGGCCAAAAATAAAAACTGATTGTCCTGTAAAATTGAATTTCGTCAGAATATAAAAAAACTTGGATAGAAGGTGCTCCGAAGGAGAACACTAGAAGGTAAGGCAAAAGTAATGGTAGTACCAGCATGAGCTATCACAATTTTTTTTTTGAGAAATGAGATTATAGGACTGAAGCCAGGAGAGCTATGTGCCACCAATTCCAAGTGTGTCTATCTCAGATACAAGGAACCTATGATCAATCGCGTCGAAAGCTTTATTAAAATCAATGACCATATAATAGACATTTATCTTTAAAGCTTTTCAAAATGTTAATTGTGAAAGAAAAGGTGCTTGTAAGCTGTAACAATAGATTTGCCTAATCATGCTGGTATTTAACAAATTTGCAGTTAAGGCTTCTTTGTATACACGAGTAGACAATTAATTCAAACAATGTGGACAGGTGTGGGAGAGTCCATTAATTGAGTACAAGGGATACATCGACCAACTTTAAGATTGGTGTAATAGACTTGTTTTCCAGATTATAGGAGATATAGGTACCTTCATCCAGATAGTATGTAAAAGATTGTAGATTGGAAAATATACTAGAGATCATTAATTGTAGCTAAAAAGTATGTAGGTGAAAATACTATCATGGCCATACAAAAAAATATTTTTTTAAGATTCGAGATTGTATTGAACGTAGTCAATAGTAGAGGCAGTAGTTGGAACGAATGTCATATGGATAAAAATTGATAAGTGAAAGATTAAAAGAAGCATGTAGATGATTATTGAATGTATCGAAAAAGTATTTCGAGATAAAGTTATATGAAACAATGGGACTGTCAGCCCATTCGTTGTTAAGACAGACAGAAGGAAGAATATTGATGTGCTAGTTTAAATATTTTGAGAACTTTTAAAAGGACGTAGAGTTAAAGATAAACATGCGCATAGGTACATTAATATAGGAATTATTATCAGATTTTTCTGAACGCTTACATTTAGCTTAGAGTTAAAAAAAATAATAATCGGCAGCAGCCGATTTACTTACTATACTTACTACAACTGCTCTTACATTGTGATGATCGGGCTCCCTGACCAAATTCATTTTTTAATCGAGTAACTGGATGATTTTTAGAAAGTTTTGATATGCCAACATTTTGGAGGGTCTTGATGACACGCGGCTGTGGTACAGTGGTTGGAGTAGTGTCAGGGAATTATAGAAGCATGGAAAAACACTAACTACTTGGTGTTTTATTTGATAGAGAGAAGAGATTCCCCACTGCAGACATTTTTATAATGAAATTATTATATCTTGTTCGTTCTAATAATAATAATAATAATAATAACAATAAACGTAATAATAATAATTAATAATATTAAAAATATTGTGCATTTTTTTTACTAATACTATTTTTTTCTATAATTCTTGATTCATATAATATAAAATTTTATTTTTATGCTATAGAATAAAATACTGTTCATTCCGGCTAACTGAAGTACTCTTCTCTATTGTTGTCGTGTTTTATTCACCATTCCAATAGTAATATTAGAGCAGCAATATGCCGCCGCCATCAATTCGGACAATAAACTAAAGACTGTATTCGATTTACGATGCCAGTCGTCTAATGGCAACTCCAGCTCATTCGCCTGAATCAGACAATGTTTACGAAAAAGCATACTCGGTAAGTACTAAAATGGTTTTTTTTTAGTTTATTACATCGTTTAAAATGTTTGAACCGAAAAAATATTATTGTAAAATACATTTTTTGAAATATAGTGTGGATATTTTAAGAACCTATTGGATTTTCAATTTTATTTTTATTTTTGAATAATAAAAAACAAAATACCTATCATATATGAAAATAATTGTTTTCAGTCTCGTTATACTGGTACAAGCGATATTTTATACAATATTACCTTAATAAATTAAACTTGTATTTATATTAGGATATAATATGTGTTTAACTTATGCTGTGCTAGCCGTGGTGTTATAAAGTGTTACTTTTTAAAAAAAAAATGTTATATAGCCATTTCTTTTTTTGTTTAACATTTTTGTATTATCGTACAAATAGTCCGGGAGTTCTATAAATTACCTTAATCCATTCATGATTTTCGCCAAGTTTTATACATAATAATATTATGCTTAATTTTCTGTCTTATGTGATGCAAAAGTATTTTAATTTATTTGATAAAATTCTAGTAGAAAATCTAAACTTTTCTTTTTTTTACCTTAACAACTGAAAATGTTTATACATTTATTTCTAGTATAATTTGGTAATTTTAGTTTTTACAACTTCGATTTTACCGATAGCATTGAGTTCTTCTAACTTGGATGAGAGAACTTAAAGTATGTTGGTTTCCATTGACATTCCACTTACGAAATGTAAGTGTCATGATCAATGATCATACATGGATAAGTTTCAAACATTGGCTGAGTTACATGTAATTCATTGTTAGAAGTACGGGATACGGATAAAGGGTGAAAGTAATTCGATAAAAATATAGTTAATTTGGTTATCGGCGTTTAAAGTCGTAGGTATAATAGTAAAAAGTAACTTGTGTCTTGTGGTATAAACTGTATAAAGTCTGTTACGGAAAGAACTTAAAGTGAGCATGTGTTAGGGATGAGTGACGTAATGGAGCTTAGAACGTTAATACTTTTTTCGTTCTCTACAAATGCACTTTCAAATTTTCATAAGTATTTTGATCTTCTTTATTTTTAAAACATTTTATTTTATTTATTTTATTTAGCGTATGGTTTTTAAAACATTATTTTAATATGATAGAGCCAACCACCATATATAAAAAAAAACATGAATAATTAATTTGAAGTCAATGAGGAATAGTTACTTTATTGTTGGTCATTTATGTTATACTTTGGTCTAATGTGATCTACTAGAATAGAACATCTATTTAGTATTTGTTTTATTTTTATAATTTATTTTTGTTTTATTCTAATTAAAACCGGGGAGATAATATATATATATAAAATGAATGTATGTCGTGTGTCTGTGTGTCCATGTTACCATGGTTACCAAGGTTGCCATGGTTACTAAGGTTACCAAGATTTCATATCAAAAATGAATGTATGTCAGTGTGTGTGTGTGTGTGTGTGTGTGTGTCCATATTACCATGGCAACCATATCTGTATATAAAAAACAGTAAGCTGATTGACTGCTATCAACGCACAGCTCAAACCATTGGACGGATCTGGCTGAAATTTGGCATACAGATAGCTATTATAATATAGACGTGCGCTAAGAAAGGATTTGCCGAAATTCGCATTTTAAATAGGTGCTGAAACAGGGACATTGAGATTCACGATAGAAATTGGAAATTTTATTTTTATTTATTTATAGTTGCCATTGGTTACAGTCTATATTAGAAATTAGCATTTATTTATTGGTTGCCATTGGTTATTCGGGCAGATCAGGTACAAGCTTGCATCAAATCGAATTATTGAACAATGCTTACCAGGGTGGCAGAGTTGCACTTACCGCAGAAAATTACACCCAAAAGGAGTTCAACAATCATAATTTTTTTAAGAGTTGCGATTTTTTACGAGCAACCAAATTTATTATATTAATCCACAGTATTACATCAAAATAAACTTGGTATAACTTTGATACTTTAGAGTTAAATCATACACTTCCGTACAAACAGCACGGGGTCCGCGATCTACCGCAGGTAGATTGCCTACCTGATAATGTACTGCTGCGATTCAGAATTTTTATTCAGGGCAACGGGAAAGATAAGATAAATTTTGAACACCATACACCGAATATTGAATAATGAATTGAACAAAGTTTGAGTAGGTAGTATTGAGTTGATCCATTTAACGGGCGACGAAGTGCACGGGATCAGCTAGTATTTTATATTTTGTATTAAGGTATTTGAATTTCTACTCAGTTTATTTAAACTGTACGATTATTTATTATAATAATAACCAATGCTCATAAAATGTATTTAGAAAACAGAGCATCCTATGCAAGTTATGTGGGCCATTGTTTTTGATGAGTGTTGCAGGAGTAGGTATTTTAAAATTAAATTTGAAAGCGACTACTATCACATTCGAAAGACGATTCTGAACCGAGCTTAGTTTACTATAGTGTTTATTTAATTCTACAAACTTTAAGTGCTAATAAAATGAAATAGTGAATCAAGATCTTCTGAAAATATAAAATATAGGTAGTAAGCTTATATAGGTATATATATTTTACGAATAATGATAAATATTATATTATATATTATTGTGAATAATTATATAAATAATAAAGTAAACTTTTCCTTAAAAGGTCTCAATTTCAAAAACTAATCTTATCAAATTCACTATAAATATGTAATAAAATATATCTTTTGTTGTATGTATAATATTATACAAATATGTAGGTAGTAAGTTTCATCTATTTCAGTGGCGTAGACAAGGGGCGGGGGTCAGATCCCCCAAATTGGCTTTTTATTTCCTTAGTAAAAAGTTTTGAGAGGTGGAGAATTTCACAATTTTTCAGTCCCATTAGCTATGTCGTTTTTTTTTTTTTGATCCCCCCCTTTCAGAAATCATGTCTACGCCACTGATCTATTTATTACCTGTACCTATATATCAAATCTTTAATAACTAAATATTAAGATTTAGCGGTAGGTAACACAGTCATACAGATATAGGCACAATTAGGTGCTGGCTAGGGGGCTTGGGGCTCAGCCCCCTGCCAAATATTTATCTAGCCTCCACATGATAGTTACAAATACTACGAATTAAAAAGTAAGTCCTACTTTTTAGTTTGTATCAGTACGACAGTATCTGTGAATGTTCATTTTCTTCAATGCTGTGATTAAAAGCTTGTCAGAGAACAACAATGGGACAAGAATGATTTTAAAATGTATTAATATTGAATATCGAAAGAGATGTAACTATAATAGTCTTGACACAAAAACAATTATTGATACATTTTCAGCAACTAATAGAACATTTTATATAATTGATATTACTTGACATGTACAATGCACATTCTGTATTATAATAAAAGTTGAAGTAAACATGTATCGTCATATATAATTATTTATAATTGTAATTAAAATTGTTTAATTCACTAGTTTTATATAAATTTAATTATCTACTTTTTTTTTATTAATTAACCAGTGGCAACGTAGGCTACAACTGTAGATACATGAAAATTTTACTGAATGTTTATATTTTCATTTTCTATACACCATATAAATTTGAAAATATTTTGACTCTTTTTTTAACTGTTTACGAACATTTTCAGTTTTCAATTTTTTTAGTTTATTTTTCAATAAATATCAATAAAAGTTTTTTGTTGGGTAAAAAAGCTTGAAAATTTAATGCAAGGCTCCTGATATATTGTTATAATAGCAGTTGAAAAATATTAAAAATACATAGCCGCAGTTTTTTTTTTTTTATAAGCATTTAAAGTTCAAATTTTATCACATTTAAAATTTAATAATAATTTTGTAGTTGAAAATTTATAACATGTTCAACTTTTATAGCTGAGGATTGAAAATTTAAAACAAGATTCCGCCCAAATAGGTTATATATAAATTACTTTATTCACCTTAATATCTTCAAATATACTTCATAATATATCATAGGCTGACTGACCGTTTTCGCTCACAACCGTTTTTCTTATACAACGATATTATATCATTGAATTCAAATTTAGCACCATAAATTATAGTGACCCACTTGTAACCTACTGTACAGCAAAGCGACATCCACTTACCCACCTTTTTCAAACTAATTTTTATTTTAACAAACTTATTTAAGCTCAATGGTTTTCATAGTTTTGCATTTGTGAATAAATTAAAATGAGTTAATTTCTTAAAAAGTCTGAGTTTGTTAAAATTATATTTTTTTCCTTGGCTGAATATTTAGTTATTTAAATAATCACGTCAAAGAGTTGTTTAATATTCATTATTTATAATAATAAAAAACGAAACATGTAGTAATTCATTTTAGGTGGCGTGTCTTGCAACTAAGTAATGTTATATGTATATAGTATATTATAATATAATACAATGTACTATATATATAAATAAAGTATATGAATACATGTACATTGTACACTCATTATTTTGAAAAGCAATAACTTTATTTGAAATTTGGAATTTAGAAAACATAATATTTGTGATTTAAAAATTATTAGAAAATGTTTAAACAAAAATTGAATGTATATGTATCCTCAATCAAACTAATATATTTTGTATGTACAAATAAGCATTTAAAACTTACAAAATAGGAGTATCAATGTGTAACTGACTTCCTTTAAAAATTTACATTATTATTATATTAATGCTATTATAAAATAAAATACATACTTTATAATTAGTAATCTAACGATCTAACTAATTCATCCCATATTAATACATTATCATATTTTATCGAAAATATTCTGCTTCAGATGATGGAAGTTAAGAAAATAATTTACATTTAAAAATCAAAAGTTTATTCAAAAATGTTACCAACAATGTTTGTTATCATATAATTAAAGCAATATGTATATAATATTTTAGAATTTAGAACTTTCCTATCTTAAAATTTCCAAAATATCCAAAAATGTTAAAATTTTTTTGAAACATTAAGAGTTCGTTGCTAATATAGTTCTTCTGTATAATAGTGTATACACATATACGAGGAATGACCAATTACTATTGTGTCATTTATTTT